TACATGAAATGCTTCTTTAACCCCTTGGTGCCGGCGCTTCCTGGCCCTTTAAGGGTTTCGGGAGGCGGGCGGGGTTTAGGGTCATGATTGGGAAAGGTCCCGATCGAAAGAGGAGATCAGCACCTTTCCATGAGTACAGCACATGTTTTTTTTTTTTTTTAAATAGAACGTAAATGTCCGGCCGCTCAGCGTCTAGGCCCAGATGCCGGGAGGCCGCACATTTGTGTTTGGCCGGCACCAAGAGGTTAAAAATACATACTTAAATAGAATTTTTTTATTTTTTAAATCAGAGTTTAGTGTCACTTTAACAGGAAGTAAGGGAATATCTTTCCAATGTAAAGGAATTCCTCTCTCAGTGCTCTTCCAGACTGGTGGTATTGCTTACCAGCCTTTGAATACCATCCACAGTGGGTTGGGTTTCAGAGAGCATTGTAGCAGCGACTTGCAGACATTCAGGGGGTGCTAGTGCTGCCTTCTGATGCCTGTTTTTTTTTCTTTTTAATTGGCAAATGACAATTTTGCATTGCCGAACTTCACCACAGCTGTGAGCCAAGTGCTTGACATATTATTGTGGTGAGGGCCAATTAATCTACAGTAAATGGGTGAGTTTTACAGGTGGTGCTTGGGCTAAAAATGTTGTAGCCACGAAGTAAAGGATCGCAACTGCAGCATGTGTATAGTCCTGTCATGCTATAATGTTAAAATTCGGATGAAAAACTGTGGCACCCCGGAGATTTTCGGTAGTTGTCACAGGAGCAAATGTCCCCATTGAAAGATTCCCCTCTATTCCTGTTCAACATTTTGGATGTTGCTTTACTTTCACTCCCGCTGATGTTGTTGATCAGGACAAATAGAGAAGGTGACTCCCCCGAACAAGGATACAGACAGCAATAAAATCCTGACAGGCTTTAACCACTCACGACCCAAAACCAAAGCTAAAAAAAAAAGTTATACTTACAAATAAATGTTTGGGCTTTAAAATAATACCTTATGTTGTCTAGGCATTTCCTGTCTTAGGGTGCCCAGGTATGGTCCACCATTGTCACTATGATGAGTAGCCAGTGCTGCAGCAAGTGTGTGTAGACACATAGCGATTGAAACAAAATTTTTGTAATGAAGAGCTTTAGTAGCTAAATGTCATCCAGTCAGGGTTTACAACTGCTTTAAAGTCAGTTTCTGTTCTTTGAAATAAAATATCACAGAATTCATTTTCAACATAGCAATTTTTATTCAGTAATGAGAGAATCGGTCAAGGGTCTGGGTACTTTTGCAAGGCTCTGTAGTTCCTCCATAAAAGCCATATGTTCTGTACTGTCGCGTTATGTATTGCTGCCTGGATCTAGTGAGCATTACAAGTGCTTGGTGAAGCAATCTCTGATGCTGTGTGATGACTCTTCTCTGCCTGTGATAGGAAAGCTGCAGCTTTACTTCCATAGCACAGGCCCCAGTTCCCGAGCTCTGCTTCGAATCCACTGACATTTATTGTTAGCTGATGTACAGTGTGTCTGAGCCCACACTCCCCCTCATTTATCCTGTCTTTAGGATCATGTTTTGCACATCTATATGCTGGAATTGATGTGAAATATAGAGCGCTTGGCCCGGGAAGACAGCAGTCTGCTTTTATCTTCTGCCTGGCTCTGCGTTTATTGTGCTCACCTGGCAGCAGACTCCTCTTCTCCTCTGTTTTCATTTTATTTATCACAAGGGCTTTGCAGGCTGATACACCAAAATTTAAGCGGCTTTCGTTTGAAATAAAGTTTTAGTTTGTTTAGGAAATATTTAAATAAGAGGACATGCTAAGGACTATTAATGCAATGCATAAACTGAACACGCAGCATAACTACAGCGCAGATTGACAGAAACAGCAACACCTTTAGAGAAAATTGGCAACAAAATGGAAAGAGTAGAGGCTAACTGACATAAAGGATAAATATACGTTTATATATAGTATAAGCTGTGCTTTCTGCCTAGGCCCCTCAATTAAAATATGTTTTTCACCCCACAGTGAAGAAAAGGGACCGCTCTCCAATGGAGTAATCAAAGCTAGAAAGCTTTATTGATGGACAGCACTCACTGCACCTTGCCACCCCTCTAATGCATTTCACCTAACTGAGCTTAATCATAGAGTTGGAGGCGGACAACTCTGTGATCTACAATTAAGCCCTGATGGGTGAAACAACCTAGAGAAGTGAACCTAGGGTGGAAAGATGCAGCATGTGTCCATCAATGAAGCTGTCTAGCGTTGACATCGTCATTACAGTGCAGCCTCTTTTTTTACTTTGTGGCATGTATTGTGTGAAGCATGGATAGGTTCATTGAGCTTCAGCTCCTGCCTGCCTGCAGAGCAAGAGAACAATTGGGCAGCTTGATACAGAGTCTTTCAGTTCTCATCTAACAAGTTATTCAACCCGGGTACATACTTACCCCTAGAGAAGTCCATGGGGATTCACTGGGTAGGTGTGGACATCAAAATGGTAGGATTTACACGTGGCTTTGGGATTCAACTATCTGTCTGTCTCCTGTATATTGGCTTCATAGAAGTCTGTGAATATCAACTGCACAGGCCCAGCCATCAGAAAAAGATTGTGAGCTCATGTTATGAGCAATTGGGTTAAGATAAGTGGAGGAGGGTGGGCTATTTTATTCCGGGCGGCTAGGCAGAAAGGATGACTGTACCTTTCGTTAAAAATACTGTATCGCTGAACAATATTGCAACATTTAATTTATTTTTTAATTGCAAGCAGTGTAAGTACCCAAATTCGACTTGGTATCAGCCGCTTTCAGTACCGTAGAGCTCAAGCTACACATGGAATGTGGAGCACAAGCAGCCAGTAAGTTGCGTTGCAGTGAAAGAACCAGGCAGATCAGTGGAGAGAACAAAACGACAGAATGATACGCTGATCAGTGTGCTTTTTGTTCATTTCTGTCCAGGAATACAAATACCTGGCATGAAAAAACATTCCCACATATGTATTTGATCTGCATATTTAGTTGTTTGCCTGGAGTCTAGCTTTCATGGGGGTTAAAAGCAATTACTCTACCTAGATGATAATCCCTTCTCCATGTTTTTCTTTGTCAGGTAGTATAATATACCAGGCCATACTATTTCTTTCTACAGAGGAAAATGTCATTTATTATTTTTTGTTTCTGGAGCCTCGAAAGCATTGCACCAGCAGTCAGTAGATCGCTGGTGCCATGCAGGTCTCCCTGTGTCCTGTCACTGTATCTGCTTGATCGTACGTCCCGTATGGGCAAGCAGATACTTATTGACAGGAAGGCTCAATGAACTACCATGGTGCTTCACAGCACCATGATAGTTCATTGACAACTACAAGCTGACAGCCGCAAAGGCTGTTGGAACTTGTAGTGTTTTCATTCACAGAACACTGTAATTGAGTGACTCGGCTGAGCAGGTGGAGCTCCACGTGGCCACGTTTTTTTTTAAATTGTGACAGCTAGTAGGGGGGAAAAGATCCCCCGCTAGCTGTCACAACAGGGATGGGGGGGGGAATCGGGGGGCCGTTCCGTTCATAACATGTTACACCATGAATAAGGATGTAACATGTTATGAAAGGTGAACTTATTATTTAAAAAGGGTAAAATGTAATCCAAAATGCAGTGTCACAGTATTGAAAAGTAGGGGTAATGGGCAAAAGTAGAAATGTCACTGTTTGCCTCTTCATTTCAGTTGTGCAGTTACATCCTTTTCAGTATTAGCTCAGGAAAGCCTCTGTAAGTCAGTCATCATGAAAAGTGGTTAAAGTGTATGTGTGGATAAGACTTTTTTTTTTTTTTTTTTTTGGATAGAGTAGTGAAGGATTTAAACCCATGTGAGCTAATTTTTTGCCATCAGTGTCCCTTTAGGGAGATTACCCTTGACTTTCCTTGCCTGAGTTGAAACAGGAAACCACAGTAAAGCTCTGCAAAGTGAGGGAATTATTCTCTTAGTTGTCACTGTCGCAGTTGCCCCCTTCAGAAGATTTCCTCAGTTCTTGGTCTTGGTGAGCAGAGAGCCAGTGTTTTTCAGTCACCGCCTGTGTTCTGCTCCTCCAGCACTCACTGGAGTACCGGGCTCTGGAGGGGACTGTAGTGGCTTGCTAGGAGGCTGAGCCAGTTGCCAGGCAGGCATCTGGGTGGATCCCAGCATTATTGTTGGGATCCCTGCAGAGCCTAGACTGGCTCTGTGACATTAGCTGACAGTGGGCTTTAGCCTGCTGTTGGCTGAATCTGGGTCACCAGAGTGCAGAATTAAGTAAACCCCTGTGACCCAGAAGAGAAGTACGCCCCAAAGAGGTTTGGCCATACTGCTTTTTTAAAGTGATTCTTTCACTATTTAAAACAAAAACAAAAAATGCACCCTGCAAAGAAATTAATTATTAACTACCTGAACATTTTTCAACATTGTAAACATGCAGGGTCTGTAGGATGCCTGGTGCGCCTCTGGTCTGTGTGATTGCCCCTGTCACTACTGTGTCCTGAAAGTCAACTGAGTGTTGGTAGATGAATGCAACCTACATTAACGCAGTGGGGACTGCTGAAGAAAGACAAAAGTGTGGAGGCAGTAAAGTTGTGAGAAACTAGAACAACAGCCATGCACAGATTCACAGATTGAGCCTCCAAATGTCCATGTGCACGAGGTCTAATAGTGTAAATGTAAAAATGCAACTTCTAACAATGAAAAATAAAAACTGACCTCTGCTTTAAAACCTTAATGTTTTAACATTCACATAAAAATACCTTGTCAAGTGACGTGTGGCAGGGAGTCTTTAGTTTTTCACTGGTCAAAGAAATGTGTTTTACTTCAAAATTTCTGTTCGGGAAGGGGAGTGTTGGGAAATCTATACTAAGGCTTTAGTAAAACTCCTGAATGTAACCCCAGGCCGTTTAAGCCATAATGTGCAAAATGTGCATCGCATACTAGCACATTATGACAGACCCTAAAACTGAGTCCTCTAGCGGTGAGCTGTCACCACTTCCTTCTTCACCCAGTCTTCCTTCTGGGAGAAAAACAAGAAAAACATATTCTGAACCAATGGACTGCAGACACAGTACAGGAGATGACCAGAGACTGCGGACACAGTACAGGAGATGACCAGAGACTGCGGACAGTACAGGAGATGACCAGAGACTGCGGACACAGTACAGGGGATGACCAGAGACTGCGGACAGTACAGGGGATGACCAGAGACAGCGGACACAGTACAGGGAATGACCAGAGACTGCGGACACAGTACAGGAGATGACCAGAGACTGCGGACATAGTACAGGAGATGACCAGAGACTGCGGACACAGTGCAGGGGATGACCAGAGACTGCGGACATAGTGCAGGGGATGACCAGAGGCTGCGGACACAGTGCAGGGGATGACCAGAGGCTGCGGACACAGTGCAGGGGATGACCAGAGGCTGCGGACACAGTACAGGGGATGACCAGAGACTGCGGACACAGTACAGGAGATGACCAGAGATTACGGACATGGTACAGGAGATGAACAGAGACTGTGGACATAGTACAGATGGCCAGAGACTGCAGACAGTGCAGGGGATGACCAGAGACCGCAGACAGTAAAGGAGATTACCAGAGACTGCGGACCTTTGGGGAGGGAGCGGGTACCTGAATTTGACAGGTACCCGCTCCCACTTCCTCAGAGTTGTCCTTCCTTCTTCCCGCGGCGGCTTCTGTGACAGCCGGGTGCCCACTGTGCATGCGTCAGAAGCTCTGCGCTTTGTGAATGGCCCGGAGCCTTCTGGGACCTGTCGTGTCCCAGAAGACACCGGTCCATTCAGAAAATGCAGCGCTTCTCGCACATTCGCAGTGGGCACCCGGCTGTCACAGAAGCCGCCGCGGGAAGACTGCAGCGCTGGAGCAAGGAACAGGTAAGGTCCTGCAGGAGAGAAGAGCTGAGCGGCCGGTCCGGTATTCTGACATGGTGGCGGCAGAAATACCGGACCGGCCGCTTTACATTCGCTCCATAAGACGCACTGACATTTTCCCCCCTTTTTTGGGGGGAAAAAGTACGTCTTATGAAGCAAAAATACGGTGTATATATATATATAGTCTTTCTTTAAGAAATAAAAGTAAAATATATTTATTAATCTATCTGGGGAATATGAGTTAGATAGGATTCCTAAGTTTAACAAACTTTTTTTATATATATTTTTATATTGCGATATGTTTTAAAATGTTTTTGTTTTAAATAATTTTAATAATGATAAGCCTATTGTGAAGATCTTGACATGAATCCACACAACCGGAAATCATTTAAATAGGATGACAATAACAGACAAACAATTAGAACCCAGAAGCCATTTTCTTGTATTCCAAAATTAGATCCACCAATCAGGACCAAGCTGATAGTTTATAAGGTTCCAGTAATATGACGACGTAGAGCTTCCTGAATACACCATGGCAATGAACCACATAGAGCTGTTATCACGTTCATCATATCTGATCTACGTTGTGATGTCAATTCCTGTTCCGGTCTTTGGAACGCACGCCAGCTCCAGTGAGTGGAGCAGAACGATTATAGTGGCAGGCTGTGTGTATTGGTGGCAAGAGGTTGGGCACCACCGAATGTGAGCTTGCATTGTTTATAAAGCTATATGAGCACTTTTATATAATAAAAACTGCACAATAATAGTATTTACTTTTTGGTGCTTATTATTCATTTCCTGAGTTTCACGTTACAATGGGGAAAAAGCGTCCAGAGAGAGGGAGTACCATCTGCCAACCAAACCATATGAGATTGCATCCGAGTCTTTGGAAAAAGCGCTTATGACCTTTCTTTTCATTAAGGTGTCACATGGTGATTGCATTAGAGTGAAACGTGGTGGATCACTGGTGTAATAAGAAAGAAGAAGAGGAAAGACACATACTATAGAGCCCGGTTTTTCACACTGAATGCTGTGGGACTCTTACTGTAATGAGACATTTGGTTAATATGTTATGTCATTTGTTTGGATTTAAGCACTCTTTCATTACCAGACCTTTTTTAACTATCTCTCACGGAAGTGTAGTAAGTGCTTTTTCTTTTCAAAAGTCTTCAGGCAGGTTAACTGATGTGTTGGGTCTTCTGCTTCTTCAGTTCTATTCCAGCAGTGGGCAGTCCTCCGGAGTTTGCAGTGTCAGTGATGATGTCAGCACCACTCTGTGCACAAATATACTGTGATAGAACATTGACGTGGTGACGCTGCCATTGGAGGGGGGCCTATAACGCCCTGCAATCCCTGTTTCTTGGGTTAAGGGACATATTTTCATTTGGGCTTAGATTTGGACCTAGATTTTGGCTTTAATGATATCACAGTCATGGTCAAAAATATTGGCTTCCCTGCATTTCTGTCAGATAATGCACCACTTCGCCCAGAAAATTGTTGCAGTTATTGTTGCATTCTCATGTTCAATTCTTTTGTTTGTATTGGTATGACACAAAAAAGTGGAGAAACAAAATGATAAATCTGACACATTCAACGCAAAACCCCAAAAATAAACTGGACAAAATTATTGACACCCTTAATTTAATATTTGTTGGCACACCCCTTGGAAAAAATAAATAAAATCAACTGCTTCCTCTAACCATCAATGAGTTTCTTACACCTCTCTACAGGAATTTTGACTGACTTTTCTTTCGCCAACTGCTCCAGGTCTCTCATATTAAAAGGGTTCCTTTTCCCAGCTGTTTTTTTGAGATCTCTCCACAGGTACTCTATGGGATTGAGTTTCTAGACTCATTGCTGGCCAGTTCAGTACTCTACAGTGCTTTGTCTGAAACCATTTCTGGGTGTTTTTTGACATGTGCTTTGAGTCATATCCTGATTTAAGACCCTTGACCTCTGATGGAAACCCAACTTTCTGACACTGGGCCCTACATTGCACACCAGAATTTTTTGGTAGTCTTCAGATTTCATAATGCCATGCACACAGTCAAGACACCTAGTGCCTGAACCAGCAAAGCAACCCCAAAACATCAGTGAACCTCCACCATGTTTGACTGTAGGTAGTATATTCTTTTCTTTAAAGCTATCAATTCTTTTTCTGAAAACAGTAGAATGATGGGATTTACCAAAGAGCTGTAATTTGTTTCATCTGTCCACAGCACATTCTGACAAAAGGATTTTGGCTTCCTCAGGTATGTTTTGGCAAACTCCAATCTGGCTTTTTTATGCTTCTGTGTCAGCAGTGGGGTACTCCTGGGTTTCCTACCATAGCGTCCCTTTTCATTCAGAATGCGACGTATAATGCGAGCTGACACAGTTGTACCCTCTGCCTGAGAATCAGCTTGAATTTGTCCGGAAGTTGATTGAGGTTCTTTAGTCACCATTTGAAACAATCCTTTGTTGCAACCTTTGATGATTTTTTCTCTTTGCCTACATCAAGGGAGATTGGACACAGGAACATTAAGATCTCTGGAGATGGACTTGTAACTTTGAGATAGTCCATGCTAATCCACAATTTTTGTTCTCAAATCCTCAGACAATTATTTGGTGCTTTTTCTCTTCTCCATGCTCCATGTGGAACACGGAGACACACAACAGAAAGGTTGAGTCAATGTTTCACCATTTTAACTGGTTGCCAGTGCGATTTCTACATTGTCAGCATCTGTTAATTGATACAGGTGAGTTTAATTACAAATTACAGGAGCATCACAAACTTGGAATTCAATTAATTCTTACAATTTAAAGAAGGTGCCAATAATTTTGTCCCGTCCATTTTGGGGGTTTTGTGTGGAATGTGTGAGATTTGGCTTTTTGTTTCTCCACTTTTTTGTGTCATACCAATACAGACAAAAGAAATAAACATAAGAATGCCTAAACATCTGCAATTGCAACAATTGTGTAGATGAAGTGGTGCATTATCTGACAGAAATGCAGGGGTGTCAATATTTTTGACCATGACTATTTGTAACCTGCCTCCACAGTGTTTTGTGTCTACAAATGTCAGGCAATATGTGGCTACCAAGATTGTATTAATATTTCAAGTAGACTACAACTACCAGCCAGCCTTCTGTGCTATATTTATACAGATAGAAAATAAATAAAAGAAAAATCTTTAGTCTTCTGCCTCTTCTACACCAAACCAGTTCTTGTTGGTAATGAAAGAGCAAATAGCACAAGGCAAAGGGAATCATAGGCTATCGATTCAGTGAGATTGTGCTAGCGCAGCTTTAGCCATAGCTGTGTGTAGAGTAGCGTGCCACTTGCTGATACCATGTATTATTTAGCCATTTGTTAGGGGAGGCTGACAGCTTTATGGATGCTTATAGTTAAAAAGGATGTAGTGGAAGTGCTGATACCGAATATTGTGCCTTTCCTCTCGATCCTACAGAAATGGTGTGCGAGGATGTGTTGGATATTAAAGTAATGTACTTCTTGGGTAGGTAGGCACACATCCAACGAATATACTTTGTCCCCCCCCAATCTTCCAGTTGATGCAGAGATTCTGTATGTACACTCATTTAGAAATCAGGAATTTGAACTTGGCTTCCGGGGATATGCAGGTGCACATTACTTGTGCAGGGTCTTTCTGAGAAGGCTTCAGTACATAATTACCTTGTGTTGGCTCTTGTGTGCTGAGTGTTTTCATTCCATGCTGATCTTTTTCTTCACAGTGCTTTTTTTTAGCATTTTGTAAAGAACATTTTCCCTTTCCCTTGCAGCAATTTCCTTTTTTATTTTTATTTTTTTATTAGTCTTGGCAGATGTGGCACCCCAAACAAGAAAAGCTACACTGCATGCTTTTGAACTATTATTTTCATACAGATAATGGCTTTTTCTAATGCTTATGGTTTGCCAGCCCTTCTGACTCGCCTTCACTTTTCCTTGCCTGATTTTGCTTTGCCCTTTCAGGGCAAGGTGACTGTGTCTATGTAAATGTGAACCCCTTACCAGTTGATTCTCAAGTTGCTAGCTCTCCTCCACTGAGTCCACTACCTCAGCCAGCACAAAATAATCAGTGCTATTGGTCATGGGGGAGAGTGTGACCTCTCAAAAGACAGTGTTTGGGCCTAGCTGCTAATTACTAGGCCTGAACATTGTCACATGATGAAAATAGTGATCTCACCACTCTTTCTAGTCTACACCAGCTGACACAGAGTTTTGTTTTCGGAGCAAGGAACAGTGGGGAAAACTGATGAGATGATTATCAGTGGGTCAGAGGAGCCCCTTTACACAGATATTGTCAATTAGCCTTCAGTGGACAAGTTGACATTGTCCCTGGAAAGAAAACGTTTCATGAGAGATTATTAGAGGAGGCCCTCACCTATCCCCTTCTCAATATGGTTGTTGCCTAGCTAGTAATTTACCAGTAAGGTTAATCACTGATTTGGAACAAGTGTATATATATATATCTGTAAAGTCAAACTTACTTATTTGCAAGTCCAGGTAAGAGATAGAATGCATTAAAGCAAATGGCAGCCTGGAAAGTAGCATTTGTAAAATTAGAATTAGCAATGGTAGCCTCCATGTCTCTCA